ATACACTTGTTTCTTATTCGATGACCTAGAATAGTATGGAAGATACCCTAAACAGAGCGAAAAGGTATGTTGTATTTAAGATGCAATGAGCAGCGAACCATGAACTCTTGGATTCACAGTTCGAGCACACTAACCACTAGGCCATGCACAGCACCAATCTTTTAAAACAGCAGGAACAATCAAATCCCAGAAATATATACAAAAAAAAAATGCATCAAAATGCGTCTGGTGTAATGTGAATGTCAATCTACATATTTTTGTAGGCTATATTTTTAATCTAGACTTTTCTAGATCTTTGTCGTTCAGCTAAAGGAAGTTTAACGCAACGTGATGTGCGCGTGTTCAAACGTCTGGGATTTTCTCGAACGTTTTAAAATAATTTGAGCAGTTCAATCCACCACTTGTCACAGAGTAATACAAAATCCATCCCACCTTCCTACTCTTATACAACACAAGACTAGGAGTCTTACAGGTGGACTCTTTATTATATTTGATTACTAGCATGGGTTGATTTTCGCCCATCACTTTATAATAATTCATTGAAAATTAATCGTTAGATTATTTTGTTTGCAGATAGAAGCCATAATACTTAAAACAATCAAGAAACATATACAAATCCTCTTGACCATATACGTCTGTTTTATATCTTGGTAATAAAAACGATAGGAAAACATAATTCATAGAACTAACAAGAGCAATCGGAGAGATTGCATATATACTCTCGCCCCGCCGCTCCTTTTCGAGATTGCATGCGTTTATATTGAATGGTGTTAAATTTCACCTTCGAAAATTCAAAATCCTTCTCAGATCCAGAATTATCAACGATCCGGATCATTTTTTGTAGTGTAATGAGGAGTCTCAACCTTAATGTTCCCATGAAAATTGGTGCAAATCCGATCACACTTTACAGAGTTATTAACCGAAAACAGCGAAAATGCCCTATCTCCCCATTATAAAAAAAAACGTTTCAAAGTGATCTAGAATCCGCATCCGGACAAATTTGGGGAAAACTGTCCTATACTGACTTCCCATATTTGTAAAAATATTCATGTTCATCAGTTAATTAGTTTTCGAGATAAGGACGCGGAAATACAGAGAGTGAGAGACACACACACACCTACACGCGCGCAGACCCGATTGTAATCACGTGAATAAAACTACCAATAAAAACAGTATTTGGTGTGCATCTGTTGTTCCTTGGTTCGCGTCCATTCACCGCAAAAAAAAAAATGTGCTTCGCACTTTGAGGCTTGGCAGTGTTATTAGAGTGACGGGCAAGTCCCGTTATTCGGTCTGACAGAAATAGCTCAAGAGTTGGTGGTGGGTGGTGGTGACTAGCCACCTTCTCTTTAGTCTATCACTTCAAAATTGGGGGTGGTAAGAGTACATAACACTCGTATGACTTCGAACGAAATTCAACAAACAAAATCTTTAAGTGATAGGTAAACATAGTGTCACATAGAAGGATAAAGAACGTTTGTTATAGGGTTTTTTTATGAAAATAAAATAGATTTTTAAAATCAAGCAAAAAGAAACGCATCTCCCCTAGCGAGGTATATTTAAATGAACAAACAAATGTTTTAAAAATCTTAATCCGATATGTTTAGTGCTTTAATACCTGTATGTTGGGAAGGACTACTAGAAAAAGTTATTTTGAATTAGTTAATATTTTCACCTCCCATTAAAACATTGGAACTATGGTGTAAAAGTAAAAATCTATAGCTTGTAAATATTTCATATATCTCCGACACTTTGAAACTCTTAAAAGTTTTCTTTGTTGTGATATTAAAGATGCAATATCACTGAATAACACTTCTGGGTGTATTGAAAGTTCTTATGCAGCTAATGCATCAGAAAATTATTCTGCATATAATGACCGTAAAATGGTCTCTAGATATGTGCTAGAATAGTGCAAGCTTTATTGATTTTCTGGTACGTTTTGTAGCAGGCGGTAAATAATTTTTCGTTTCTAAAGGCCAGACATTATTTAGGACAACAAACGTAGGAAGGTGAATAGAACAGTCAGCAGAGAGAAGCACGCATATTGTAAACGAGCGTTTTTCATCATTAGAAAATAATCTCTGTTAACTGATTGCCGCTTAGTTATCAATTGTCGATGGGGGCTTACTACAGGACAGAATATAATGTTTGAGATTAATGTACAAATGAATGTAGCAATTCAGGCTAAAAAAAGAACGGGTCGACCATTCTCTAACTGTATTTTGCTATACATCGACAGCAATGATGACAAAACCTTGTCGAAACGTTGTACATTTGCTGTTATGTTAAACTTATATTAAAGTTTTTC